ACGTTGTACGCATAGTGAGAGGCTGCCATGAACTTGGCGAGTGCCGGACGGCCAAGGATTTCATTGTAAGGATTGGAGTATCGACAAAGAGCTAGCTATGGACAGGGGTGCGTGGAAGCTTGCTATCCATGTGCCAGAGCCATGAGTTGGTTGCGAGATCTTATGGGTTTCACCTCTAGCCTACCCCAACTTGCTTGGGACTAAAGGCTTTGTTGTTGTTGTTGTTGAACGTGATCTTCCCCTTCGGCTTGCTTCTTTCCGGGTTGATTCCTTGAAATGTACCGGTCTATTCGAGCTCGCTGTCAGGGATCTGAAGTTTTTGGAGCACCGCGGAGGAGATTAGGTTCAAGCCGGCCCCGCCGTCGACTAGCATCTTAGTGAACTTGAGGTTGCGGATTGTTGGTGAAACCAACATTGGCAAGCACCCGACCGCAGTTATGCAATCAGGGTGGTCCTCAATATCAAAGATGATAGGCGTGCTGGACCACTTCAGAGGCTTGCGTGACTCTACGGGTGGTTCTGCTGCATTAACTTCCCGCACCCACTGCTTGAGCTGGCGGTGCGAGGTGTGCAAAGAAGCACCACCGTCAACGCACAAGACCTCCGTGGCTTTCTGGAACTCCTGCTCATCAGTCTCCTCATCATCCATGTCTTCATCGTCGTCGTCATCTTCATCCTTGTCGCGGCCGCGAGGAGGTCTGTCTCCTTGCCGCTGCTTGGCCTTGCCGCGACGTCCTCCTCGGCCGGGACGTTTCTTGCCGGATCCCCCAGCACCTTCCTGGGCCTTCTCCTTGTCGCGCCGCTCGTATTCAGCTTTCTGTTGCTCAACAAGCTGCTCGACTTTCCTGCAGCTCTGGAGATCATGGCCCTTGGTGCGGTGGATCTTGCAATACTGCTTGTTGGTGCCGTCCTGCTTGTCGGCGACCGCCACCTCCGCGGCAACCTCCTTGCCGGAGTCACCAGATTTTGCTTTGTTGGCGCCACCACCGTTGCCGGACTGCTCAACAACTAGCACCTCTTTGCCTTTCCTCCTTCTGTTGTTCCGCCGCCGGTTTTTCCTTGCCGGGGCAGCATCTTCACTGTCAGATCCTCCCGCTCCTACATTCTCTCCGGGGAGTCTCCTCCCTTCCTCAGCACGTGCACACTTGTCGGCCAGTGCATATAACTCACTGACGTCCCTAATCTTGCACATCGCCATTTCCTCCCGCATCCTGCGGTTCCGCACGTTCTGATGGAACGCGCTGATCACCGCGGCAGGGTGGACGTCTGGGATGTTGTGTTGCACACTGCTGAATCTCTGAATGTACTTGCGCAGGGGCTCTCCTTCCTTCTGGGCGAGCAGATGAAGATCACTCTCCTGGCCATGAGGCTTGTGTCCGCCTGTGAAGGCGCCGACAAACTGATGGCACAGATCAGCCCAAGAGGATATTGAGTCGTCCGGCAAGTGCATGAGCCAGGATCTGACGTTGGGCTTGAGCACCAGCGGGAAGTAGTTGGCAAGGATCTTGTCATCCCGTCCCCCGGCAGCCTGCACCGCAATGGTGTAGATACTGAGGAACTCCGACGGATGCGTCTTGCCGTCGTACTTCTCCGGTACGTCTGGCTTGAAGTTCTTCGTGCTGGGCCACTGGACTTGCCGCAGCTCACGAGTGAACGCAGGGCAACCTACCGCGTACGGCAGATCGCCTGGTTCCCCTGGCGCATGCATGTCAACAGAGGGCCCAGCGCGCTTGTTGGATTGACGTCGCGCTTCTCTTCGGCGCTCGATGCGAGTTCGAGCGTCTTCTTGTTGTCGATCATGAAGGACTTGGCGCTGATCGCGACGAGCTCGTGGATCCGACGATGCAGTGGAGTCGCTGTCGAGGTGGATCCGGCGAGTCGGCGATCTTGGCCTTCGGGGTGGTGATTGCATGGTAGTTGCACCTCCACCCGTTTCGTCGCCACCGGCTCGCGCCCGGCAACCCTGCCGCGGCGGCGACGCGCTCGGCTGCCGTGGAGTGTCGCCGTTGGCGTAGCCGATGAGACTCTGAATGGTGGCCCTCCATTCGTCGATCTTGTCCGACGTCGGTGGGTAATCTAGGAGAAGTTGAGCTCGTGCCAAAGCTTCTGCTGGAGTGGTGGGTGGCAGTGGCGGACGGCGCGAGGAGCGGGACGTGCTCGGACTTCTAACTATGTTAGAAGGAGCAGTATCCCGTCCAGGCGACCGTGCCGCGCTCGTGCCAGCACGCTGGCGGGCATGCTGGTCTTGAGCGCCCCGAGATCCACCAGCTTGGTCTTGGCCTATCACGCGTATGGCACTGCGAGTGCCATGACGCTGTTGATCTTGCGCCTCCTGAGAGTGGCGCCGAACATGTACAGTCGCCGAGGTTTGTGCATCATGAGCTTCCTCGTCGACGTCCATTCTTCCGCCGGCGTCCATTCCACCACCCGTTTGCTCCAACGGTGGCGGAAGTGACATGGACGGAGTGGCTGACGCCGAAGTCTTCTTCTTCGGTGGCATGTTGATGAAGGGAATGAAGATCTAGCTCGTGTGAACGCCGGATCAGGTTCACGCAATCTCGACGCCCCCTACCTGGGCGCCAAAGATGTCGGGGAAACTGATCCACGAACACCTATGGGGCCGGCGGACCGGGTCCCTTTCGGTTCGGCGGGGGGCGGAGATCGCACGAAGAGCAGATCGAGGCGAGGCACACGAGCAGTTTACCCAGCTTCGGAGCTCTCGGGAGAGATAACACTCCTACTGCTGCTTGTCTGGTTGTATTATCTTGTGTTCTTGCTCTAGAGAGAGAGCGTAGTGTTTTCTGGCGTACGAATGAATCGAACCGACCCGAACCCCCCTACGTTGCGCATGGGCCTCCTTTTATACGCTAAAGGGGTCACCGACAGGTGGCAACGCAGAGAAGGGCACAAATGTAAAAAGTGAGGTGGTTGGTACAGTTACTTGTACAGTGCACCCTACCTAACCCTGACGGCAGGGGACAAGGGTATTAAATGCCCGTCTGAGTCGCCCAAACAGTGTATAAAAGGACCGTTAGGGGCACCACCATTCGCCACGATGGCGATCTTGTCAGCTTCGCATGCCACTGCGCACCGCTAGCTGCACAGCCTCCCGCCACGCGCGCCTGGAGAGGCCCCCAGAGCGACACGTTGGCGGATGTGCTGGAGCGTGGGCACAGAGTGGCCGCCTGCCGCGGCAAGCGCCTTGCCGCTGCTGCTATCTTGTCGGGTCCGGAAGCTTGTCGCTCACCGGGCTTCGAAGTGCCTTGGTTGGGCTTCCCGGCAAGCTCCTCTTGCCGGGGCCTTGTTGCCTTGCCGGAGCGCGTGGCGCGTCGCGGCAAGTTCCTTGAAGTGCCTTGGTTGGCCTTCCCGGCAAGCTCCTCTTGCCGGGGCCTTGTCTCCTGAGCTTAAATACTTTGCTCTTGCATGGCTTCAAGGGAACCACGGAGGATCTTGGCGTTCGCCCGGCAAGTCTCGTCGCGGGGTGCTGCAACTGCCCGTGCACAAGTTCGGGGTACTAGGGTACCCCTATTCTAGTACACCGACAGTCGGCCTGCGCAGGCTTCTGCGACACCCCTCGTCGCGACCGCGGCGCGGCAGTTCCGCCGGCTCACATCAGCCGAACTGCTCGAGCGTCGTCGCCAAGGGTTATGCTTCAACTGCGACGAGCCCTACAAGCCCGGCCATGCCTGCCCGCGACTCTTCTACCTGGAGGTTGCAGACTATATTCCGGAGGACACCGTCGTCGCCGACCTGGCCGCCCCAGCTGTCGAGAAGGTGTTTGACGCTGGTTGATCGCCTCCAGGAGTTCCGCAAGCGCTTCCCCACCTTACAGCTCGAGGACGAGCTGTTTGTGCAGATAGGGAGAAGTGTTATGGCCGGTTTAGCTAGGCCCACTGGGCAATCTTAACCCACAAGTTATCTTAGGTTAATTCTTATGCAAGTTATCTTAGGTTAATTTTTCTGCAAGTTATCTAGGTTATAAATATAGGCTGTAAGACTCTTTTTGGAATTAAGCAATAAGAAGATTATCTCTATTGCCCGGCTTCCAGAGGAGCAGGAACCCTAGCCGCCCCCTGCCTCTTGCGCTGCCGCCGCCATCCTCCTCTCCCGCGACGGCGCCCAGCCGCCGGCGTGGCCGCTCATCACCACGCCCAGCCCCCTCTTTCCCCTACTGCCTACGGCCAAGACCGGGCAGAACCCTAGCTCCTAACAGGGGTCTTGCAACAACTATAGAGGATAGGAGATATGTGGGCTCGTCATGCCCGGCGCACGTATGAGTTGTGACTCTGTCCACGCACATGTGGGATGGCTATGTCCACTGCATAAGCGTCATGGCGCCACATGGATCTTACGTGATCCCACAAGCCAAGTTACGGGTCCCGAACGAGCATTTTGCAAGTTATTGCACTGCGCCGTTATTTGCTGGTATTTTAATAATACAAGCTGTCACATTGACAATTTCTGAAGAATGTAAGAAATAATTTCTGCAAAAAGTGTATCTCCACCCAGGTTGATTCACACCCTGTATTCTCTCTTTTTCCCCTACTTCAGAAGGTTATGAAATAATTTTAAAAACATATGGATGGTGTTGAACATGCTAATATGTGTACACCTGCAATTTTTGGTGAAATATATGACCCCATGCAGCATACACATGAGAAACAAATTTTGTACCCTTGGATAGCATGCTATTAACTACTCTACCCTGTACTAGTTTTTTATGTTCGTATCAATTTTTGCAAGTGTACACGCTATGCCTGGATGAAGATTCATGAATATTTTTTCAACTTATTACACAACTTCTTGAAATGAACCAAAAGGAGACATTATTGGGTGTGAATTGACCCGGTTTGAGAAAATCCACTATAATAACTTATGCAAGCGTTAACTCCACTTTAAGTGCACAAAACGACATAAAATATGGAGTTTAGCTACAAGAGTTTAGAGGTAACTGTAAAATTTTTGACTTTGCAAATCAGTTCTATAGAAGTGAAACACACCTGGTAATTCTGATTTGATTTCAGTACTGATTGCCATTATTGTTGCATGGGCGACACTTTTCTGAGAAATTTGGCTAGATGTGGAAACTGCTTCTGCCCTCGATTTAGCAGCTTCCTTTTCTACAGCTTCCTTTTGAGCAGCTTCATATGCTGCTTTCTGTGCGTCAGCTGCTAATTTTGCAGTTGCCTTCTGCCTGGCCTGCATCATCATTCATGAACTTTTCAGGTTAAGTGCACGGACATTTTAACTGACTAGAAGTTAACTGAAGAAAAATGTTTCCTGAAATAACAACTGTTAATTAAAAACCTAGGAAAAATCAGAGTACATAACTGGAGGAAAGAAGTAATAACAACCAACAAAATATTAGTTTGATCGATACAAAACAACTCACTCCACACCAAATGTTACAGAAATGTACTAGGGCCTCAAATACCACATCATGTGTATAAAAACAGACCAGGCAAACGACAAATCTGGGCAAACAAACCTCTGCTTCTTGTCTGGCCCTTTCCTGTTTTATTTTTTCTTCCTTCATAGATTGCTCCCTTCGTTTAGCTTCTTCAACAGCTGCATCATCTCTTATTCTACGTTCCACAATCTGGGATTTCTGTTCATGATCCCTTTGGACCATAGATAAGTGTTTATCGAGTACTTCTGCACTACAAGAAGCAGTAAGGTAACATGATAGTGAGTCTAACAGAAGATTATTATAGATTAAAAGTGTTACAACATACATGATGTGATGTTGTGAGTCTCTGACTCAGAAGTCACATAGTTAACGGCTCAATGGTAACATTATACTTGGCAGATTGTGTCCCTAAGACCAAAGGTTATCTTTCTTAAAAACATAAAACTAAGAAGAATGAATTGGAATGTTAGGCTTTAAATGGTACAATTGTCAGATATTGTAACAATAACGCACAGAACTAGAAAGTTAATATAATCATATAATTTGTAGTTTAACAGAACATACACACTCCTGAAACAAGCAGGGAAATGACATTTTGATAAAGAAAAAGAGACAGTCGGTACAAAAGATGTCATCATATCAGGTCCCCAATAGAAGATCTCTTGGGATGCTAAGATAGATATATGGTACCAAAGCAAATAGATTACATAACCAAACACTGTTTTCAAGAGTCAAGAACCTAGGTCCCATACTCTCATCATTTGGCCAAATTCCACATTACAAGCATACGAACATGGAGTATGTTCATATTATTATGCATGACACAGCTCTAGTTGTGTTATGGCGCTGCTAGAAGGAGGGCGCGAGAGGGCCGGCCGGGGGCCTTTTGCCCACGGCCGGGCAAGATGGAAGGGATTTCCTTCTTAATTCTTGCTTGATTAGATTGATACATCTCCTCTCTTTATATAGAGAGGTTTACTTGACTCCCAAGCAAGGCTTACTTGACCCTAAGCAAGCGACCCTTATCTCTAATTAACCCTAAGACTAACGGGCTATACCGCCAGCCCAGGCCATTAGGCCCATTACGTACTCTAACATGTTATGGCGCTGCTAGAAGGAGGGCGCGAGAGGGCCGGCCGGGGGCCTTTTGCCCACGGCCGGGCAAGATGAAAGGGATTTCCTTCTTAATTCTTGCTTGATTAGATTGATACATCTCCTCTCTTTATATAGAGAGGTTTACTTGACTCCCAAGCAAGGCTTACTTGACCCCTAAGCAAGCGACCCTTATCTCTAATTAACCCTAAGACTAACGGGCTATACCGCCAGCCCGGGCCATTAGGCCCATTACATACTCTAACACTACAATACTCTAACACTACACCCCACCTGGACATGCAGCTTGTCCTCGAGCTGCAGCCTAACCAACTTATAACCATGACTCGACGCAACACAGACCTAACACCTAAAAACAAGCCTTTTACATCTCGGCTTGTTTTATTACTCTCAACCTAAAATGGACTGGGATGATTTATTTTGGACCTCTTAACAAAAAGTGGATACCATCTGCACGTCGGACGTGCACGTGTACAGCCTCCTGGATCCCATGGACACCATCTGGACAAAAGGAGTGCATGTGTATGGCCACCTGGAAGTGGTCGCAAGAGCGACCAGCAGAGGCGCCCTCGCGGCGGCCGGCGGCGGAATGCAGTGGTGCTACGCGGTGCGCTCTTGTCGGTGACACCATGCCTTCTCCCCGCCGGACGGCTGTTGGTCGGCACCGCACATAGAAGAGTGGAGGGCTGTCGATGGAGAATGGCGAGGAGGGGTGCGCCTCCCCAACCGCCGATGTCGCAGACTTTGAGGGCGCTGTTCGTGGGGAAAACAGCATGCCCAAGATCCCCGATGCAGTGGACGAGATCGAGGTCCTTTGCGCAGCGAAACGCAACTGGGAGGAGTGGCAGCTGCAGACCACGCAACTCCCGCACACGCCGACGCGCTAGGAGGCCGTGTGCAGCAGCCTGCAGCCTCACCGCCGCTGACACGTGGCGGGTTGTGATCCAAGCTGGAAGCGGTGACGACGACGGCGGGAACTTGATCTGCTGGATGGGGACGCCCTGAGGAAGCGGTGATGGCGACGGCGGGAACTTGATCTGGTGGATCGGGACTCCCGTCGGCGCGGTCGATGCGGGGCCGGAGCTGACCGGCGATGGCTGTTGCAGTTGCAGCGGCTGCTGCAGCGGAGTGCCGGGCGCGGCGGAGGTCGCCAGGAGCGGTGGCTGCCACTGCAGCCAGGGCGGGGCGGTGGTGGCGGTGGATGGCAGCTGCTGCTGCGGCCCAGTGAGCGCGGCGGAGGCCACCTGGTGCGGCGGCTGTCACAGCAGCCAGGACGGGGCGGTGGTGGCGGTGGATGGCAGCTGCAGCGGCTGCTGCAGCAGCCCGGCGAGCGCGGCGGAGGCCGCCTGGTGCAGCGGCTGCCACGACAGCCAGGACGGGGCGATGGATGGCAGCTGCAGCGGCTGCTGCAGCAGCCTGACGAGCGCGGCGGGGGCCGCCTGGTGCGGCGGCAGCCACGGCAGCGCGGTGGCGGTGATGGGCGGCGCAGCCGGGTGCGGCCCGTAGGACCCGGCCAAGAACAGGCGGATCTCCTGGACCGCCTGTGTTAGGTCCCGTAGCGCCCCGGACACCTCCGGGGTGAGGACTACGGGGGCGGGCGCGACGGAGGATCCCGGCGCGGGCAGGAGCGGGGCGACAGTCGTGGTGGTCGCCGGAGGCGACGAGGTGACCGGCAGCGGAAGAGACGGGTTGGGCGGCGGTGAAGACATGATCGAACCGAAGCTAGCTGATACCAAATTGTTATGGTGCTGCTAGAAGGAGGGCGCGAGAGGGCCGGCCGGGGGCCTTTTGCCGACGGCCGGGCAAGATGGAAGGAATTTCCTTCTTAATTCTTGCTTGATTAGATTGATACATCTCCTCTCTTTATATAGAGAGGTTTACTTGACTCTCAAGCAAGGCTTACTTGACCCCTAAGCAAGCGACCCTTATCTCTAATTAACCCTAAGACTAACGGGCTATACCGCCAGCCCAGGCCATTAGGCCCATTACGTACTCTAACAAGTTGTAAGCAAAAAAAAGGCAAACTCATTATGCAAATTAGTTCGCACTTGAACATTGAAACCTAAAACTTCTATAAAAAATCACTCCTTGCTCACATAAGCAGCATACAACAACAACAACAACAACAACAAAGCCTTTAGTCCCAAACAAGTTGGGGTAGGCTAGAGGTGAAACCCATAAGATCTCGCAACACAGCATACTTCAAAAAAATATAATCAGGGACACTGTGTATGGTGGAGAAACAACAAATAGAGAATTAAACTTATAGACTAGCAGTAGACTGTTATGTGCCAAAAGTCACCAGTAACTAAAGATAGTATGCTATATGAAGCTTAATGCTGGACTAGTATGAGAACTCCCCTTACATCTTAAATACGTATTACTAACCAAAGATCCAGTAAAATATAAAATTTCTGTGATTCTAAAAAATTGCAATATAGTTTTAGAGGCGCTAGAAATAAAAAAATATAAGTACGTACATTTTTCTCTGGAATTGGACATCTAGCCTTCTATCTATCTCTTTTCGTGATTCTGCATATTTCTGAAGTCGAGCAAATGCAGAGATTGTTCTCTGGATTTCATTTTGGTGGCATACCTCCAACGAAGATAACTTACTTCTAACTTCCTCCTGAAGATTAAACAGCATGAGTGCAAAATAAAACTATTTAAAGTAGCAAATAAGGGCTGTGCCACAGTAGATCGTTGTCAAAGCAAGACAATGACACTGTTCAAAAAATATTTAAATAATTAAATTCAATAAAGTTGCATAATGAATATTGTTCGATCAGCAAAGTGAAGTGTCATCACAGAAATACATGTCTACGACAATGCATCTCTATACTTTGTGTACTATTATCACATCAAACGTGTCATAACTTAAGAAATGACATTTTTGTTAAAATCCTGGAGAAATCTATTCTCCACTATCCAGCTATAATCCAAGTTCGAAAAAAAATCACCCAAAAGAAAAGACAATAAGTGTATGTAGAATAGGCAAATCAACATTTACCCAGATGCAATAATAAGAAATTTACTTCTTTGGGGTCCCTGTTATTTCACTCCCTGGATCGTAATATTCACTGTGCTAAACTTTCATGTGTTCAAAATTCTCATGTCAAGTTGCCAACTAACAGAAGTACCATTCTTCTTTTTTTTTTTGTTCCTGCAGTACGTACAACTTTTTTCTTTGGTTCCTGGATCGTAATCTTTATTGTGCAGAACTTTCATGTCTCATTATGTAAATTATGTTCAAAATCTCGAGGTGTGTTCCATCAATTGTCATCATAGCATGTCCAGTAAGCTTAAACAGAACCAAGAAGCTCCATCCAGATATTAAATCTGTAAGATGGACGAAAAGATGTGAAGTGCCCACATGCCCGGAACACTTAAAAAGGTAGTTGTAATACACAAACCTTTGCAGAAAAAAAATACATTCGTCCCAGTATAACTAACAGTTACCCTAAACTGTAATGACGACAAATGACAAAAATGCAATGTGTTCTACTACTGAGAGATCAAGGTAAAATCATGGAAACATCACTAGCATGCTGTGTTTATTAGAGAGGAACAACAGAGTAGAATTTCCGGTACACACTTGAATTTTGAGATGATGATCGCGTTCCAGCTCAAGCAGAATGCTTTTCTCTAGGCTCCTTTTCTCCATCAGGTGGTATGATGTACTACCGCTATCTAATTCATCCCCTGATTCTTCAAAGCTGCTAGGAATAAATAAATGAGATAACTTAGCTCAGTATGTGGTAAATGAACTGTGATGTGCTTATTTTTTAAGCTGTTGCAGATAAGAATTCCCTAAAGTTCATTGCTCTTCTTTGTAAATAAAATTAAATGTGGATAAATCGGGTTGACTAATGATTGTCCTCTAACACTCCATCTAATGTGTTCTGCAATGAGAAGTTATAGAATGATTGAAAGATAGGCAGGTAACCAAACACTCAATTTCCAAAGGCGGCTCAACACCATGAGTTTATCATAATCCACCTCAGTGTCAAACTGAGCCTTAGAACACATAACATACATACACTCACGGGGCAGACTTCTATTATTCTGCATAGCAAACAAGAAAAGAATGATGCAGGCATAGTTAATGGCTCAATGGTACCATTATACTTTGCAGGTTGCCGCTAAGACCAAAGGCCATCTTCAGCTTAGGAGATGTCAGACGGTCCGTTTCAGGTGATATTGACAAACTATGAAACAAAAAATTCATGAGAAAAATGCAACTGCAGGAACCAAATTGCAGTATCAAGCTCTCACCTGCATTCGAGATCATTACATGAGAACCTGGCTCCGGTCACAAGAGCCCGGGCATCCTCATTATCGTTATCGTCTTCCTCGTCCGTGTCGTCTTCCTCCTCAATCCGCATCACAAAGGCCTTCTTCCTTGCGCTGCCACCGCTAGCCCTAAATAGACCAAAAAATAAACGCAGAGTCAAATTCATCGGCAAATAAAACGAGCGTACAATTGCGAGGGAGATGCGACATACCACTCCGGCTGCTGCTTGAGGGGCGTGGGGGGCGCGGCGCGGCGGGTGGCTTCGAGTGCGTCGAGCTCGGTGAGGACCTCGCCGAGGGTCCAGCTCGGGCGGGGGTCGAGCGCCCTGGGGCATCGCAGCTCCAGGCGCGTGAACGCCCTGCGAGGAGGTGGGCAGGGGAAGCAAGGTCAGTCTCGACGAACACCGGCCAGATGGAGGCAGCGGGGGTGCGAAAAAGGGCGATGCGGGGGGTTACATGGCGGTCGTCGCCGGCGAGGCAGCGCACGCTCCCTGCCCGGCCGAAACTTGACGAGGTGCCGCGCGACGGAGGTGCTCGGCGGGGGCGGGCGGCGGCCCTGGCGCCCAGGTGCGGTCGATTCAGCCAAGGCGTTTGAAAAGAAGGTCCCCGATTGGTGAAATCAGGTCAGGTCAGCGTCGGATCAACGCAGACTTGCCTGGCCTGAGGCGTCCCTCAGCGTCGGATCAACGCAGACTTGCCTGGCCTGGGGTAAGCCAGTGAGTGGTGCGTGGCCCAAATCGCGCGCCTGGCGACCGGCGAAAGCAGAGCCTGGGGACGACGTCGCTGAGGCACTGCCAGGACCTGAACCCGAACCCTGAATGCAACTCCAACGAGCACAGCAGAAAAGAAAGGAAAGGTGCAGAGACAGATACCAGATGCACTTGTATGCAAAGCCTATGGGCGTGTTTGGTTGCCGTTTGCTACAGGGTCTGCATCGCATACATTTTCCAAATCAACCTGGTTGAACAAAAACAGACTCTAATACGCCATCTGCCAGTTGTTTGGTTGTCTGCATCTAGTGTCCCTGCATTAGGTAATACCCAAGTGCACTTTGTTTGGTTGCCTGCATTGACCCGAGCGGCACATAAACATGTCGTTTGGTTGCATACGGCGTACATATTGTGCTTACCTTGCATCCTAGTTGGTGAGCTTACCCACACCTAGCACACCAACGCCACAACACAACAATGGCGATGAACTGGGCGAAGATGATGAAGTTCTTCAGGTTCAGCCCAAACTGACGATTCACGTTGACACCTCCAACCTTGCGACTGTCAGTTGCCGTGCGTTCGCATCCAGTCGGAGTAAGCTTGTTCTGCCGCCTGCCTAGTCTTGAACCCTCTATGGTGCTGTTGCTATAACATGCCACTTGTGCACTGGCCTCTTCCCATGAACTATAAACCCCTGAGACCTTACCGACGAACACGGCATACCACTTGCTCTAGCAATGCACAAGAGCAAGAGTTGAAGCAGCAAATCAATGGAGCACACAAGTAGCACACAAACAACAATGGAGCAGAAGAGAAGTAAAGCATGCATGATCATATGGCATAGCAAGTTCTTCCTAGCACTACCTTGGTGTTAACCTATCACCACATCCAAAAAAGGGTGTCGTCCTACCATCACAAGTTCACCATCAGCATGAGGGGTTAGTATATACCACCTCACCAAAATATACAGACCATGAAATAGTTTTTGAGCCCTAGCTACATAAAATATACGTCGTCATCGTCGTCGTCGTCGCCACCGCCATCGCTGTCGGGGATCATGCACGCTCACAGGCAACACTACTTTAGTAGTAGTGCTTGCCCAGCCAGCTCCTGAGCCACAACATACTGTGAGCGTCGGCCATGGCAACGAACCCAACACCCTGAGCCTTGTTGTCAAGCAGGTGGTTGAGAGCTGCCATGAGAGCCTCATCGTTGAAGCCATCCTAGGTCATGATAGCGCCATATAGGTCAGGGTGGACGTCGAGGGGCTTGCACTCCCTGATGGCTGTTGCCACCTCCTTCACCGCCTCAGTCATGCTGCAGAAGACATTGATCTCCTCCTCCATCAGGCCTCCTCTTTTCCTCTTCCTATCATGGATGGGGTCAAATGGCTTGTCGAAGGGCTTCACAGCGGGCTTGTCATGGCCATCGAGGACCTCGACGTCTGGGGTCCCAGGGAAGTCTGGCATGGGAGAACCAAGAGGCTCCCCCGAGCCCATGGCATGCTTCCCAGTTGCTAGCCCGAAAGAGAAGATGTGCTGCATCTGGTTGTAGTTCTGTATGGGTGTGTTGAGGAACTCAGCGTCCCTTGAATGGTCCTAAGAATGAAACACAAGTGTTTTTAGTTGCGATTAGGGTAGGCAATGGTGGACAGTATGAAAAGGAAGAGGGATGTGAGCTAACCGCGACATGGCCGGCGTAGTGCTCTGCCTCCAGAACTATGGAGCAAGTGTTCTCATCCCATGAGGCACCACTAAGGTCTCTCAGCCTGGACACTTGGATCCATCGACTTATCCACTTCCTCAGGTGGTTGTACACCTGGGTGGCAGACATCTCTTGCCCACAAAACTCGAAAACCTGCTTTGCAACGGTGTTCAAGTGCACCTCCTTGAAGGCCTTGTCAGTCCTAACTCCACCAGAGATGAGCTCACGCATCTTGTTTAGCATGAACATGGACATGAACGGCTGCCACTTCATGTTGTTCGACCTACCATCCTTCTTTGCCTTTGCTGCTGCTAGCTTGAGTGCAGCGGCAGCAGCAACATCAGTAGTTGTTGGCTCAACGAGCACTACTGGCACATAGAGGGAATCAGAGGAGAACACCTCTGAATTAGGTGCCATCTGGGTCATAGGCTGCGAGTCCTCGACAAACGATGGAGCAAACTGACTGTCGGACAAGACAAGGGCCTGGCTAAGATCTTGCGTCTGCGTGGTCATGTCCTACAATCGTAGCACGCATTGACAGTAAGCATAGCACACAACATACCGGACAATCCATGAAAGCAGAAGCATACATGTACATGGTTCATCACTATCATAATAAGCACATGCTTCATTGCTACCCTACCAAGCAGACCGGACAATCTATGAGCAGGAACATACAACTACAACAAACATCATGCTACAAATGGACAACCAATAGCTATAAATCACAGATCTAAGCATGATTCAACACAAGCACAAGGTTCAACTTCAAACTCTACTACTAATCTAGCCTACCACATGCTTGAACATCTAGCCCTGCCACAAATTGCAACCGCAACATAGCAATCAACCATATCAGCTCATAGATCAGACCACTAATCAACCATGCATCTAGATCAAACCCTAGCTACAGCTCAGATCTAGCTAGAAGGAACAGAGAGAAAGGGGATTGAACTCACAAAGGCCATGGCTGTAGCTTGAGGACGAGGGGGGATGGTCGTGGAAGATCAACGCCGGTCGGTGAAGGAGCGCCGACGCCGTGGACCTCCGGCCGATGAAGATGCGCTGCTTACCTGCTCGTCGGTGCCGATGCGCGTCGGAAGGAAAGCTCGAACGGAGGGAGAATGGTGGTGGGAGTTGGGGCGGTGAGGGAGGGGCTAAATGTAACGCCCTCGATGCGGCTATATCTCCCACATGTCGAAGCACGACTCAGAGGCATAACCACATTGAAAGCAATGTCGCAAGGGAGGTAATCTTCACAACAACCCATGTAAATGAATAAGGGAAAAAGGATACATAGTTGGCTTACAATCGCCACTTCACACAAATACATGAATAAAGCATTACATCATCCAAATACACTCAAGGTCCGACTACGGAACCAAAATAAAAGAAGACTACCCCTAATGCTACACAAATCCCCGATCGACCTAACTGGGCTCCACTACTGATCAACTGGAAACGGAACAACATAACGAACACGATCTTCATCGAGCTCCTCCTTGAGCTCGGTTGCGTCATCTGCACGGTATCCTCGGCACCTGCAAGCTGGTTTTGGAAGTATCTATGAGTCACGGGGACTGAGCAATCTCACACCCTCGCGATCAAGACTATTTAAGCTTATAGGTAGGGTAAAAGGTATGAGGTGGAGCTGCAGCAAGCGACTAGCATATTTGGTGGCTAACATATACGCAAAAGAGAGCGAGAAGAGAAGGCAAAGGCACGGTCGAACAACTATGATCAAGAAGTGATCCTAAAACAACCTACGTCAAGCATTACTCCAACATCGTGTTCACTTCCCGAACTCCGCCGGAAAGAGACCGTCACGGTTACACACGTGGTTGATGCATTTTAATTAAGATCAACTTCAGGTTATCTACAACCGGACATTAACAAATTCCCATCTGCCCATAACCGCGGGCACGGCTTTCGAAAGTTCAAATCCCTGCAGGGGTGTCCCAACTTAGCCCATCACAAGCTCTCACGGTCAACGAAGGATATTCCTTCTCCCAAGACATTCCGATCAGACTCGGCATCCCGGTTACGAGACATCCTCGACAATGGTAAAACAAGTCCAGCAACACCGCCCGAATGTGCCGACAAATCCCGATAGGAGCTACACATATCTCGTTCTCAGGGCACACTCAGATGAGCACTCCGTACAACTAAAACCAAACCTCGAGTTTCCCCTAGGGGGCGCTGCACAGGGCTCTAGTTTGGACCAACACTCAGAGGAGCACTGGCCCAGGGGGGTTTAAATAAAGATGACCCTTGAGTCCGCGGAACCCAAGGGAAAAAGAGGCTAGGTGGCGAATGGTAAAACCAATGTTAGGCATTGCTAGAGGAGTTTTATTCAAGGCGAACTGTCAAGGGGTTCCCATTATAACCCAACTGTGTAAGGAACGCAAAATCCGGGAACATAACACCGATATGACGGAAACTAGGGCGGCAAGAGTGAAACAAAACACCAGGCATAAGGCCGAGCCTTTCATCCTTTACCAAGTATATAGATGCAATAATTAAATAAGAGATATTGTGATATCCCAACAAAATATCCATGTTCCAACATGGAACAAACTCCAATCTTCACCTGCAACTAGCAACACTATAAGAGGGACTGAGCAAAGCGGTAACATAGCCAAACAACGGTTTGCTAGTACAAGGTGGTTTAGAGGCTTGGCTTAACAATATGGGAGGCATGATAAGCAAGTGGTAGGTATCGTAGCATAGGCATAGCCAAAGAGCGAGCATCTAGCAAGCAAAGATAGAAGTGATTTCGAGGGTATGGTCATCTTGCCTGCAAAGTTCTCCGAGAAGACGAAAAGCTTGATCCTCGTAAACGAACTCAACGGGCTCCTCGAACACGAACTCATCTCTCGGCTCTACCCAAGCAAGAACAACAAGCAAAGGGAGACACAATCAACCACGTGCAATGCTCAAGCAACATGATGCAAACATGGTATGTTATGCGAGATGCGATATGTGATGCATATACAAGATTTGGAAAGGAATGCTTGAACCTGGCCTCAACTTGGAAAACCAAG